GGATTCAAGTCTTATTTGATTTTGCCCTCCACAAGCTTCCTGTGTATTTAAGGACAGTGCCATCCTGTGGCTCCAGGCATTATTGCAAGATCAATGCAATCTGAGTGAAAGATCATTTTGTGCCATCTATTATAAAATTTCCTTCACAGCTAATTTTTATCCCACCTGATTTGATGGCAGCTGTATGTGTTACTGAAGATAAATGGATGAAATAATTGCTGAAGTCGTAACAAGCTGGCCTCCTGTGATACATCTTCTGTTAAGATACTTTGTTCCTGTTCAGGAGTGTGTTTCGACAAAGATAGGAGAAAGACAGATAGGTGACAATAGAATTTTAAATTGGAGTCAGGACTTAGACTACATCAAAAGCAAAAGGCTTTTTTTCCTACTGCTTATGTCTACTATTCATATTTTGGCTGAGGAACCATTTGATTGCAATAGCCACAGGGAAAAAAGTTTTCATTGTGGCTTAGGGAAAGCTTCACTTCTGATGTGTCAGGTATTCTGGACTTCTGGAATAACTTTCTCCATTTTCTAAATCTGTGGGCCAAGAATCACAGTAGAAGAAATAAATGAATATAACATTATTGTTACGTGATAACTCAATTACCCCAGAAGCCATTGAACAATTCTTAAAAGAATCGCACTTGCATTCTGCTTATATAGCCTATTTTTTGAGCTAGCAGTGACATAAACCATCACTGTTGCTGGTACTGTAAACACAAAAATGAAAGACAGTCAATATCCCATTGAGCTTACATTATCAAGTCTAGAACTGTGCTTTGCCTCACATTTTCCTTCTTTTCAACAGAAAAAAAGTCTTATATAGCCCTTCCTCCTACCTACTTCTGAACAATTTCTTCTTCACAGAACCGTCGCGTCCACTCTCATGATACCATTACTGTTTACAGGAATGACTGCTCCTTTCCCCAGCAGAGAAGAGGGAAAAAACTAAATAGATAATCAGCAAAAGCACGCTTCAAGAAGACAGCTATATAACAATACAGTGTGAGCAAAGCCTACCTGCAGATAAAGTTATGTGTTCTGCTCCTTGTTACTGAGTTAACAAAACTGTGGGACCGTTTTATGAAACACAAGACCAGTCTCAGTAAGGGAAAATGTTTATAGTTTGGAAATATGCGCTAATGCACTGTTGTGGTAAGCTACCCTGGTATGTGTAGTTACAAATAAAAAAATCTGGAGACACCTGGAAATGTCTCTTAAAATTTATTTGTACATTTGCACTGATATATCCAATATAGCTTTACATTATGAAAAATAAAGATATTTAAACAACCAAAAGAGTTAGCTTCTTCCACCTGAGCACAGCATTTTTGTTCTTAGTACTAAAGAAACGGTTAATGAGAGTCTTGATGTATGCTCATATCTCCTAACAGTCCATCCATCATAGTGTTCCCGGACAGTTAAGGGTGATAAGCACCTACAGTCAGCTTGAACCCCAGCTAGGCATCTGGTACCTGTGCTCCTGCCTCTCATCCCCTCACTCCATCTGTTCTGTTTGGCATTAGAAAGACAGAACGACAACCTAAAAATCTACGGTGAAGAAGTTTCTGCTGCTTAATGTCCATTCAAGAAATAACAGAAGTATACATGTAACAGTTATTTTAAGGTAAAAAGCAGATTTGTACTCAGCAAATGTAAGCATACTTCGGGGGTATTTCTTAAAATATGTGGTAGTCTAAAAAAGGTGATGCCTTATGCAGGTTTCTACCTTTCTTATTCAAGGATATATTGAAATTGGAAAATTTTGTACCTGAGCGAGCAAAACTTCAAGATCGTTCTTTTTAACTGACTGTATGGATGTGGATCCATAACTGTGACTCCTAAATAACAGTTTCGAAATACAGAGAATATTGCACATATATCCAAGGATATATCCCAGTACAGACAAACTCTAAGGCAGAGCCCACTGGATATAGTTTGTCAGCTGGTTTGTTTGTTTGTTTTGTTAAATAACTCTGACCGGTACAACAAATATTATCACTGTTATTTTTAAACAAGATGGCCAGTGCCAATTGTTAGATACAGTGATTAAAGAAAACAAGTGTCATCTCCACACCACTCCCCAAATAAATCATAGGTGGTAAATATAAAATCAGTTTGCTTCTAGAGAAAGAGAAAAAAACGTTACTTTTGAGCAGCTGGGCTGAGTAAGAGAGATTGGTTTCCCCACTGATTTTACTTTCCCTGCAGCCTTCAAAGCAGATTCTGTGCTCTGAAGTGCCACATATACTTACAGCACTCTATAAATAAATGCTACTATGTGCATCTATTTCTGATTAAAATCCTGTGTAAATATATATGGAAATTAGGTGCTGCCCCCAGGCATCCTGACAAGCTGCTAATGCAAGCTTCTGCTGCTGCAAAGGTTACGCGCTTCCGATCTCTGTCTTCCTACAATAGCAACAACAAAGGTTAAGGAAATTGTTCTATGGATTAATTAAAAATAAATACACAGAATAGACATCTGACTTCTAAAGAGGCCTTAGATAAGCTAGAACCATATGGAGATTGTGAAGAGATATTAATTTTACAGTGGTCTAGAATGGTACTAGCTACAAGTGATGTTAGCAAATGCAGTTAAGAACAAATTGCCAGCAGTGAGAGTTGTTAGTAGAAAAGCTACAAGGCAAATAAAAGCTCCAGCTGTGGAGTGATTTAAAATTGGATGGAACAAAGCACTAAAAATTATACCACAGGGAACTACTCTGAAAAAAAAAAACCCTTCATGTTGTTTTTCTCAGAGTTCCCTAGAGCTAACACTTTGCTAACACCAAGAAACCCACAACTTAAGCAGCATTTCACAGTCCCTCAAGTAAGTAGGAAGAACTAACATTTCCATTCTCCAGCGCATGGCATCTCTGAAACAGTAAAAGATTACTATGAAATTATTATAACTATAATAAGACACTGAATGCTCTCATATTGTAAAATCGGTCCACTCTCCACCTAGGTTACACCACCACTGCTTACCTGCTCCCATTACATTTCTGAATCTGACAGCATATACCCAAATACAACCATTTGTTTGTCCAGGTCATACTTCATTTTGCGATTATTTTTTCTAGCCTGGAGTAGTGCGCACAGCTCCTCTAAAGAACACTCACTTAGTTAACATCCTGCCTACTCCTTTTGTGTGCCATCCGCCATGTCTCAAATGCTCCACGCTATCCTAATTCTGTCAGGCTCACGTCAAAACTGGAAGTCAGTTATTCAGATTCACCGTCAGGTAAACATCTGTAACTATCTTTTCTAATCTATCCACACACTGAAGAGTTATTTAATTGCAGCCAGGATGAAAATACCCCATGATCTGATAGCTCACCATGGTGGTGGGTACAAAGCTTATAGT